ATCATCAGCCGTATTTGCACCTTTAAACCACCTCCATGGTCCGTATTGCAGAGTTTTGTACTAGGCTATACCTGGAGTGTCATCCAAATTTTCAAAAACAGTGACTGAAACAAATCAGCATTATTAGTACATTGACTGGGGAAGAAAAAAAAAAAAAAAAAGGCTCACAGCAAAAAAATCTGTTATTTGGTGTCTACACAATTCCTTCCCCTGTCCTTCTCTAAAAAAAGAAGGGTCAAATCGAAATGCTGGCAGCCCACTGAAATCTTTGAAGAGACAGTATGGTTTCAGTTATGAGAGGATGGAAAAATGAGAACCCTAGGGATCTTTTGGGAACATTAAGCTTTATTAATCAGGAATGTACTAGCCACATACCAACATTCCCAAACGGTATGCTGAATCAGACAAATGCAAGGTTAACAACAAAAATCATCTAGTCCAGCATCTGTCTTATGGCACACCCCCAGAGGTGATTTTCCAACCCACTCCTTCAAAAAGAAACCTCCCTTGCTTCCACAGTACCTAGAGGTTGCGTGTTTTACTGCCTACACAGTCAGAACATGGTTCTTAATATGTAACTTGGTAATTTTCACTGCTCATTGAACTGATTTCTTTAGGTCTTTCTCCCAGTGGATACGAAGAACAATTAATCACTGTGCTCCTGATTATAACTTCTCACTCACTAGAATATTTTTTCTTACTCTCTTTAGTATATACAACAAAAGCAACACTTTTGGAAGCATATATTGCCATGTAGGACTCCTATGTATCCCCCTGCCCCTGGGCCAGGTAACAATCAAACAGTTTCTGCTTTCTAAATGATTTTAAGACTTGGACAATTTTTGCCTTGACAAACATTTATGACCTCTCCTCATTTCCACTGGGGTTCCACAGGTAGAAATCAGGGCAGAATTTATCCCCACGACTTTATGGATTAATGCCTTGGTACAGGAAGGGGAAAAGGCAAAATTAATTCTCTTTGTTAGTGCTGAAACAATTCCTCAGTGGCAGTCAGCCTCAAGATACTGATCTTTCTTCAAAGGAAGCATACTTCCATATTTATTTCACATTCAAACAAGTCTTCTCCAATGCCGTTTCTACGAGCCACTCCTGCATCTAAAAAGGGCTTAGTAAACTATTGAGGGCTCAAATTTTGTCAGAGGAATAGCAACTGGGAACGTGCAGGGCTCAACAAAGCACGTGTTAGACATGCAATTCTAGTTAAAACAGCAAGTTACGGGAGGATAGGGCAGAGCCCTTATCCATCAGGATCCACAAGGATCCTTGTGCTGCGAAGAACGTGGTTGGGTACCTTGTTTGCTGCTTCAAAACTCTTCCTTCATTTAAAAGCACTGCTGTGATGGACGAAGCCCTTCCTAGGTCTGACGTCCTGACACTACACACGCCGTATGCACTCGGGGATGCCAGCTTACTGTGTCACATTGGCTTGGGTTCTGCCTGTTCCTCTCCTTATGCCTGCAAGCTCAGCTGAACTTATGAAAATGCAAACTGTCTTCTGTCTGTTTCATACATCAACAGCAAACAATCAGTAGACAAAACGAATTTGTTCTCTGTAATTTGGAGTCTACATAAATGTCTCTGCTGTATAATACAGAAAAAGGGAATAAAGTTTGGTATGCAAGGTTAATTCAGCATGGAGGGAAGTAGCAGGGAAACAGACAGAGAGAACACGAACAATAAAATACTCAACAGTGGAGAGAGTGACATGAGGAACACTTCTGTAAATTGGAGTTGGCCTTGATACCTTTGAGTGATGGAATTAAACAAAGGCACAAGTGAGTTGTGAAAGATCACCCCCATGAGTAGCTGTATCTCCATCCCTCGTGTTTTGTCTACACAATATACTTATTAATAATAACAATGGTTACTATTTCTCCTGCAAGAGCTTTGCAAAAAGCAACCTCAATAACGTTCACAGAGCTGTATCAGCACGAACCAGATTGAAGTGATCTGCCGAACAAGGCGCCAAGAGGTTAAATGACTTGTCCAATGCCACTCAAGGAGCCAGCATCCATCAAAATTAGATCATCAGATCTCTTGGTCAGTCATCAGACCACAAGGCCACATAAGACTGAAACTATGAAAAATCTCACTTTTTAACAAAAATAATGCGTTGTATGTTCTTTATTGGTCTTAGCCAAGGGCAGCATAACTACAAGCATTACTTTGAGAGCACATCCAGTGCATCTCTTGCGTATGATTTCATTGTGCGTACAGGTGTTTTTTTCTTCCACACACAAAATGCTTTCCCTTCTGTCTCATTCTAAAACAAGGTACATGCTGAATGCCAGCAGAGGTAACTAACTCCTCATAGTGGACTTTATCCTATTTTGGGTTAATTGCAAACAGTGAAGTACTTAAGCACATCTTTAAAGTTAAGCATTTGAGTAGTCCTGTGGAGCTCAAGTGAATCTACTTGCCTATTAATCTATGTAATTTTAGTACATAGCTGAGCTGAGCACCCAGCATAAGAAGAATCAAGCCCACAGACCTTTCCCATTAGGAGCATGCCTGCACTCCATTTAAAAGGCTGTATTCTTATGCAATTGCCTGCCAGATGTTCACGTGTTGTGAATCTGTGCTCTCCTCTAATGCCATGTATCAAGTCAAGAACGTTTTTATACCAGTTGAAAATTTGGCCTCTTTTATATTAAGCTGTTACTTCAGAGACATCCACACACTAAAACAAGGTTTCCACCCTTGAATTAAAGAACTCCAATTAAAACAAAACAAAACAAACAAACAAAAAAGCAAAACAACACACCAGAAAATTACCAGAGCATGGCTTGCTTTTTCTTCATACTGTCTTCAGGTTAATACTGGGAACCCATACTTGAATTCACTTAATTGAAGATCTCAGAATTAGAGACACCTGACTACAGTGAACATATGTAAGAAAAATCTTAAGCGTATTTCTGTTTATAATGAGGGTGTCCCATAGTTAGGTAGACATGAGGTACAGCAAGAATCACAGCCTCATTTTACAGCATACGTGCGTATACATAAAAATTCTCCCCCCTTATTCGTCTCTATTACAGGCTGTATGCCAAGGATAGAAAACATTGGAAAAAACAAAAACCCCAATATGGCAAGAAACTCAAAGATTAGACACTTGGACACCTCTATGTCATGGAATGGAAAGAAGAACTGGGCTGAACAGAAGAGATTTGGAGTCATGAACCCATACTCCATTCACAGTTTCACTTCTAATTTACCCTGCTCAACATTTCTGCCTTGATTTATTTGCCACCCTTGATAAGATAGATGCTTGTATTTTTCCTGCATGAGAGTTCTACACTTGTGTATTTATTCCTCCTCAAAAGCTTAGACTGTCATCTCCTCCCTGACTGAAAAAGCCCATTCCAGCCAGCAGCATCCATCAGGCCCTTATATTGCTACCTGGTGTTTTGCCTTAGGGCTGTCTGCACAGGACTTACTGACCATCTGGATCCTATGGATTCAAAGAACATGCTTTAATTCACTCCTTGCTCTGCTGTTGCATTTTGGAAAGAGAAATACTATTACTTTCCAATAAAAATTATCCTGGTCGTTCACACAAAATTTCAAGACAACTTTGAAACTCAGTACTCCCAGATTCACAAGTGTCCCCTAACTTTTCCCCCCATTCCCTAACACCTCCCCTTAAATTGTTGCTGGACCCAACAGACCCATTAATGTGTTCAGTTTAGGCCACTGGTTTAATTGTAAGGTTAACCTCTCACGGCCAGGGAAGCTGTTCGTGGCAGATATTCAGCAATGATGAGCAGAAAATGTTAAATACAATTCACTGGCCACAGCCTGCAGTTAATGCACAATATTTAAGCAACACAATGGCATGGCCCTTGCCAGTAATGTAAAAACACAATGGAGTCGAGCCAGAATGGCACAATCTGCCTGCCTGAGTCATGCTTGGCGTTCCACACTGGAAGGGGCACGTATTCGCTGCCCACAGTGTACTGTACCCTTCAGCGAGTTTAAAATAAATCACTAAAATACAATTAAAAAAAAATAAAATAAAATGGGGGGAGGGAGGGAGAAGGGGTGCAGGGAGAGAAGAAAAATCCCATGGAATAGTTAAAATATTTTAATACTGAAGTACAAAAGTACCACTTCGGGAAAAGTCTCTGGATTTCATTACAGACTGTACATTTTGATCTCAAACAAGAAAACAAACTGACTTTGCTTTGTAATATTCCACAGCTTTGCACTGCCCAACTAAAAAACATTTTTTTCTTACTATCTACAAACTCATGGATTTTTATTCACATGTTATTTCATTAAATTCAGAGCATCTGAATCTACTACATTTCTCAATACTGTTTTGCCTGCCTGTTCTTCAGTCACTGAAGTTCCAAATCATAATTATTTACCCAAATACATTTGGTAAACAGATTCTAAATGAGGGTAGATGTACAATCTGCCTTGCACTTATGGAGCAACTATGCTTTTAGAAAGAGACTCCTTTCTTGCTGAGACACAAGACATTATTTTGACTGTTTTGTTGCATCTCAGAACAGACAAAAAAAAAGAATTCTGCTTTCATCCATGTCCTAAAGCAGATGAAGCCTCCTGTGATGTCATTAGAAAGTTGTTCAGTTTTTTCTTATATAAGGGACAAAAATTGATTATGACATCAGAAAAAGAAAATAAATTATACTTTATGCTATGAGGAATCTCTTTCTACAACAAAGTGCAGAAATCCTCACTGACAAAGCCACAGGAACTGTACGTCAACAGACACATTAATCCTAATAATATTCAAATTGAAGTGAAAAAGAAAGATCTATTCAGGGGGCTGAAATTAAAGATCTGAACGATTTAAGTTTAGTTCTAATTTTTAAATAAAACATCCTTTGAACTTCTAAATCCTATTCAAGGGGACTCTGACCTTTATCCAAGACCAGTTACTGTGCTAACACTTTGGATGCATATTGAGGAAAAATACTCACACAAAAGGTACCGGAAAAGCTTTTACTTACAAGAATGCAGTGCAGTTTAATCTTTTTGTTTTTAAGGTGCAGTGATTTCAGCATCTACAATGTAACTTCAGGCAGTCTGAAAAGAAACAGGTTAAAATCTCTTTCAGTTATAATTGGTATTTCAGATTTAATTAAAAATTAAACTTTCATAATGTTTCACCATCCAAAGCAATGCATTATCAGTCAAGCATGGCCTTTTTTTTCCTCCCTCTTTTTTTTTTTTTTTGGTTAAAAGAACCTCTTCCCAGAGTAGTTTGCTATGAAAGAAGAAGGGAGAAAAAAGGCAATTGAGAGTAGTAAAATATATTTCTACAGCAAAAGATCTCTGAATAACTCGGAAAGAAGCCTTCTGCCACTTAATTTTAACAATCAACCTTGTACTTATAATTAAAAAAAAAAAAGCATCACAATTAAAGAAGACAGATAAACACCATCACATACCAATGACTGTGAGGGGAAAAATGTTAATTTCAGCAAAACAAGGACATTGCTAGGACCAGAACATACGCACCAAAAGGGAAAATATGGTTTTACATAATGCCAGCCAACTTTTTTTTTTTTTTTAAATCCGTTCTACAGCATGTAGCACTTTCAGACTGTTGCATGGAGGAGCAGAGAAAGAAAGACAAGTTCCAAAAGAGGAAAGCTGTTTTTCAAGTGTACGAGGCAAAAGGTCCCTTGCACCCATTTGTTAAGGGATATGAAATAGCTACTCTACAAAACTGCAAAGTTTCTTATCGTGTAAAATAAACGTCATTATTCCACTGCACAAAACAGATGATTAAGAAGTGGTAGCTGTAGACGAAGCATTTGAACAAACGCAAAAAAATATATATTTTTTTCAAAATACAGTTAGAATGACAATAAAACTCCAGGGGTTGCACCATAAAGATGAGCTTAAACGCTAGACTGGAGTTTAAAACCTGTGGTTTTAATTATACCTAATTATAAAGGCTCCAAACCTAGGAGAAATGAGAAAAACAAAAAGTATTGATAATAAATTAAAACAATTTTGCAGTAAGTTGTCAGGATTTGACCTCATAATAACAAACCGGACACCTATACACAGACACATGCAACACAGCAGTGATTCATTAAAGGAATAAATCAAAACTTGCTCAATTTTTATTTTAAAAAGATGACAGCAGAACTTTCTGAATTTACCCCATTCAGTGTCAAAGCTATTCTCTTCACCAGCAGCACTCAGACAGAGACCCGCAAACAAATTCTGGATGCAAATCTAATACTGATTTTGAAAATCCCACAGTCCGGGGGCAATTCCTAAGTGAAATTTTATTTTTGTTCTCAAATGAGTAAAAAAAAAATAAAATATTAACATAACAAATAAAGAACCAAAGAAACAAAACCGAGCACCACAACAAAAAAGCAATGACACAAAACAGTTCTCCATGCTTCAGTGTTATACCTAATCCTGCCCCACAAACATTTACCAGGGAAAGTTATATCATGCGATACGCTGTCATACAAACATCATCACACACACGGGTACTCTACAAATGTGAGCGAGCTCTGGAACTTATTTTAAGGCTTAACTCTGTCAAGATGAGATGTATTAAAGAGCAGGAGGCAATGCAGAGAGCACCTGAAGGGAGCGCACAGCAAGGATCACCAAATCTTACACAGAACAAAATCTTTAATGTTCAGATGAAAAGAACAAGACTCCACAACAAGAGGTCCTAGGATAAATAATAACCTTTGAAGACTTGGATGAATTTTTTCTTGAAGTAGCTTGGCAAGAGGAATCATCTGAGAAACACATTCCTCGTTCCCTATGCAATCTTTACATCACGTAACTACCCTTCTCTCTCCTGATCAGCATCTAGGAAGCTACACAGCAGAACAGGGGAGAAATCCAGGCAAAAAAGTTGTAAAGTCCATCAGTACCAGGCAGAGGCACAACCACCAGATGAGCGATAACAGCTTCAGCCTCTGAACTTCTATTCCTTTCTTGTCCTTCTCCTTCCAAATTTACCCCCTTTTCTAACATCTTAAGAACTATAATGCTGGCTTGCTGGCTGGGAAGGAGAGGGGCAGTGGTATTTGCAATCCAGAGCTATTTCTTTTAATGAATGCAATGAAAAACTGACCTCAACTGAGAAAACAAAGAGCATTCACTGAGGGTGAAATGTATCCCTGTATAGAGAGCCAGCATACAGACTGCACCACTGAAGCCCTATTCTGATGACCTAAATAGGAATAAATTGGTACATGAACTTCATCGCAGTGAGTTTTGTCCAAATCCCCATTTTCTTGTAGAGAACGAGGAAGCATTTTGCCCTCTCCTATGAAACCACAAAGATACAGCCCCCTCTCCGCATGCTCCGTACCCTCCTGACGACCGCACGTTGACGCGTTTTCCGAAGAGCTCTAACCCAAAGTCCTTTCTGTTCTTCTAATTGGAAAGAGAAACAAGGAAACACAACATCTAGCATTAGCCTGCGTGCTGAGCAGCGGGGCACGGTGCTTTCAGAGAAAGCACTCCCTCTCCTCAAGGCAGGCGTCACCGGCACACGCTACGACCCACCAATTAAAAGAAATGGAGCCTCGGAAACAACTCACCGTGAGACCCTTTTAACTGCCATCTTGAAAAACTTCAATTAAATAACCGTAGTTAACACAACACCTGAAGTACAACACGCACAGCCAGAGCGCCGTAAAGAGCTATTTTAGCTACGAGTTGGAGGTAAACCCAAAGCAAAACCCAGAGAAAGCCTCATTAAGCACAGGATACCAATTGCTGCCATTTTAACCGTATGTTTGCAAACTAAGGAACTCATGACCTTGGGATGAAATGATTTGGAAAAGCATGCACGAGCAAGGAGTAAAAGCAGAGATGTTGCCGGTGAGTGTGCCTAGCATTGCAGGGCAGGAGATCCCTGTCCTAAAAGAGGGCCGTCATCCCCTGGTGAAAAGCAAGAAACAAACCTGCCTCGAGAACAGCTGGTGAACGTCTGCTTTGGAGAAGCCCAAAAAGCTGGAATTGCAGGAATGAGAAGTATGAAATGAGGTACATTTGTAGAGCATTAACAGGAGAACAAGTGTTGGCTCTCAGCAAATGCTTCAAAAACAAATCACAGGAAGGTAAACATGTTTCACTGTTCTTTTTCATGGTTTTTTGTTTTTTTGTTTTTTTTTTTGCTTGCCATAAAGCCTGACAATTGTGAAAGCAAAGCTACTGAGTGTACATGACAAGTTTATCAGCAATATTTCATGGCTTATATGGCAACTAACTCTGCTGTGCCTGACGAATAGTAGTGGTCTAGTCCCCCACTTTCATAAAAACCACATTCACTCCACCTAAAAATTAAATAAAAAACAATCGTTTGTTATCAGAAAACATCTCAGAAGATTTCAGCCTTTTGCAACCTGTCTCTTAGCAATAAGGAAGTTCTGCATCTGCAAGAGTTTGATTTACTTTGAATACCTGATGTCAGCTGGAGGAGGTTAATGAAAATCATATGCAGTTGATTAGTTATGGGGAGAGACAAGGGTAGGAGAGAATATAGCACAACGCTTATTGACATCGATCAATTGACTGATGGTGTAAGTCAATTGCTCATACCATTGCTCTCGCTCCTAGAATTGCAAATCAATGCTGAAGCAACTGCCACAAATAACAATTCACAGTGTAAAATACTGATATCCTTACTTTTGAAAAACCTCATTGATTACAATAAGAAAGCCCCTTTAAAGAACCTGGGAAACAAAAGAAAAAAAAAAATCAACCCCATTAGGTTCAAGATAATTTTCAAATAAATTCAGAGGCCAGTCAAGAGACTTCATTCCAACCTCAGAATATGGACAGTGACTTAGGGTATGATTACTTTCTGGCATTTTAGATTTGAAAACGTAAACAGGGTCATGTCCCTAACTGTGTCACGGAAATCAGAGAGAGAAGTCTATGCCATAGAGGCTCACCATGTAAGAACAAACAAGCAAAGTTTGAAATTGGAACCCGCATATACAATGTTCTCTCTAGGCTCATTAGTAATGCAAAAGAATAAATCTTATTAACGTAGATGCAGCATTACGCTCTTGTGCTTTTTAAGGTGAACGTACTTCAGTTGCTATTAGTCCAAGAGTCTTTTCTCCATATATAGGTTCATTTTGTGTCACCATTCATTTGTCTTGAGGGGATAGTGTAAGAAAACAAAAAGTTAACGTCTGTGCCTAAAGAATCCTCCCAAACAGGGATGTTTTCCTGAACTGAAGCCCTTTGTACACTTTAAAAAGAATCTATGAGCTTTGCTCATTTCCAGCTCTTTCAACTCGTGGCCATTTATAGGGTATAGCAGCAATCTCAGATACAGCCCCACTATCAGCCAGGGAGCTGAGCTGGGCATCATCCAAAGCCAGGACTGTGGCTCCAACCCAGCTCACAGGGCTGCAGATGGAAGAAACCTGGGTTTTGTGGTTTGAGCAGAAGACAACCTACAGAACTATGTTGGGAACAAGAACTCCTGCCATTGCAATAAAGGACAACAGCAGACTGAAGGTTTCTTTGTCAAAACAATAAATTTCCATCTGTTATTAGTTCACTGCAAAGCTGCGCACCCACAGAGATTTCATCTTCCTTATGGCATTCACCTATTAAGTTTACTTTCCCAGAGAAGACTCGCTCTCCATCACAAATTTTAGCTTCCAAGCCATGGTTGTTTCAGTTAGAAAAGCATTTTGATGGGGAAAAAGGCATATTTTTGGCTACTTTTCTTCTGGTTACACCCCACCAAAAAAAAAAAAAAAAGCAGCATCTAAACTGTTTTTATTCAAGTATGAAAAATACCTCCTATAGGCTAAGACCAACACTCCTTGAAATCCAGATTTCAGAAAATCAGAGATAAACAAAAAAAAGCTGTGATGCATAATTGACCCTTGTGGTCCCTCCAAAATAGGTACTGGTTTTAAAGGCATTGGATGCCTTAATACCATAGTCCACCCCTCTCATTTATTCCTACTGTTAACAGAGTAAGCAAGAAGTACTTGAGAAGCCCAGCTGTGACAGCACATTAGTAGCTGAACTTCTCAACCCACTGAAGAGTTAGTCTCTCTATAACT